AACGTCGACTAGTCTGCTGAGTGTATTCCACATCAGGGAATTCCTGCCAACGATATTTTAGAATTATTTCCACTCTAACTATCCGCCAAGAAGTTTCGGAATTCCACGAATCTAACTCTATGGAGAAAATATTTTTGTAGCTTTTAGCTAAATGAAAGCTAACCCATCAATTATTCTGCTTATGAGGAAGAAATAACTACCGTTTGTGACGAATGAGCCATCCGATATTTTGTTCGCACGGCATTTAAAGTTGGAAGTGAACTTATTCAATAGTTCTCTAAAAAGGTGAATGGTGTCGTCATTATGAAGCCAGTGAGTGAGAGTGTTTTAATGACTTATTTCAGGCATAGTTGAAAAGTGTCAATTCTTCATGCCGGTGACTTGAAACCATGTAACAGTAGAAGGAAAGGTTACAACGGCGAATACTATATCACTTTAATAAGTGCTTATAGGGAAATCGGGTTTCCGTGGATGACTGACATGTTTAAAGGACGCTAACTGCTATAATTGAAACTGATATTGCTAAAATTGACCGCATTTTCAGAGCTTCATCCAAGACGAGGATAGCGAGCGCCAACCGCTTCTCATAGAGTCCAAACTGGGTAAGATTTACTGTGAATAAATGCCAGCCGTGTTTTTTTCTAAATTTTAGCAATAAATTGTCATAGAGGTGCACACTGTTTTTAGGTACTAAATGGAATGATAGTTGATAGGGCCAAGCGCGGCTAGCTGGCTCAAAATAGAATCAATCATGTCTCGCGAATTTTTTGATGGAATTATTTTGCTACGTATTTCACGCAAAAATTAGTTTCAGGTTCCTATCATTCACTAGTGAACGGCGATATGGGTCAAGACAAACACGTACGCACCCTTAACACGGGAGATGGAGTGCTTCATTTATGCGCCTACAAGTTACCGCTTGCTAAAACGGTACGCTGTACAGGAATTGTCGTTATTTTTTTCAAATAAAAATTGGCTCTTTTATAATTCTATTGCTCACCTGAATGATGGAGTTCAGACAGATTAGTGGAGCCACTCCCTTTAATGGAGAGGCAAGTGAGTTTAGAGGGCGAGCTTCATTGTTCGGCGAACGCGACATACTACCCGTGAGAAGATTTAGTTCACAACGGTTAAGCTCTATTAACTGTCTATGGCTGCTTGCTCTATAGAATTATGGAAAATAAACAAAGTCATACTATATGCCTTCGTGTCCCGCGAACGTGCGAAGCCCTCTGGGCAGCTTTGATACGTTGCGATGATGGATGAAATTTAATGGTGCTGCTCGCTCTAGTCCTTTGACAATTAAAAAGGTTTCAACTGATACACTTCGAACATTCTCATAGCTTTGTTGAATTGAGTTTTTTGGAAGGCCTATGTGGTTTTTGAGAAGTTTTTCCTCTATTACTTTTATCGTTAAATGATCAGTCAGACATTCGTAAGTGAAACCGCTGTGTCCTCTACTGCTACAAATTAACGCGTTGTATAGCACTATGATGAAGAGATTGGACTGTCACGTTTTTCTTGCGCCAAAGATGACTCAACAGATTTTTTACCGGGGTGTTTGTTCTGCTTGCTTAATTTATAAGGCAACCATTTGTCAAGTTGTTCTATCTTCGTTTCAAAGTCGGCCTGAAGAGTTCATAGATTGTTTTTTTGCTGAAAGGTGCATTTTGAAACTCTTCAGTGCACAAACTGTCGAATTGTTAGGTGCACCGATAAATAGCATACGATTTTAACCTTAATATTTAAAGTGGGTTATCTCGGAAAAAAAGTTTTATTAAGTGAAGTAAAAACTATTTTAACCTGCATGCTTTTGCCTACGAGAAGCAGGCGTATTTACTCCGGTCGCGTAAAACCCTGGAATTTTGGAGTCGTCAAAGAGAGCCCGGGTCTCCATTCCGTTTCCGGAGCATTTCACCTACTGGAAGTTGTTCAGATGTTTAAAGAAGTAGCAGTCGAAAGGCAACAGGACAGATGAATGTTATGAATGAGGCACAGTTTCGCAGTCTTGCTCGTTCAACGTTTCCGTCCTCAGCAGTGCAACGTCTGCCTCTACGTTATCATGAAGAATCGTCGTCCAATATGTACGGTAATGACCTGTAGAGCTTCGGTTTTACAACTTTTTAGATATCCGAGGCAGTTGAGTTGCTTACACTGAGTTCCTCTGCAGTTTGCCAACCAAATGCATATTTATTTGCTTCGAACAAAGGGTTAATTTCATTGTGCTTATTAGCAGAACACGTCCTCGCTCTTCCTCATTGTAAACGACGATTTTTCCCCAGTGGAGCTTTCCAAACGAACAGTTGCACCTGTGCGTTCGTTAACACTTCCGCGATCCCACACCTCATTAACGTCTTGAGCTTTTTGGGCTATTATACCTCCAACATTTGAATTCGTATAAATAGATTTCTAGAAACGCAGCTTATATTATGATTTAATTATATGGGACCAAGTGGATAAAATGAACTTAACAAAAATATGTAATATTAGAGCACTCGAAATGAAGAAACTTACTAAAACATACACGAGAAAAATGACCTCACAAATCGGACATCAATTTCCGAGCAACCTAGTAATGTGTTTGGGTCTGCTTTAATTAACGTTAATTAATCAGTGGCAGCGGTTTGCCCTCGATCTTTTTCGTCTTAACACTCTTCATCAGCAGAGTTATGAAACTAGCATGATCTCGTGCAAATATTACCTGTTCACGGACAAAATTTGAGATTTGTACAGAACATGGCTTCTTCTGTATTAGACCAAGGTTTGAATCCGTACAAAAATTTTCCATTGGCCTTATTAAGTAAAAAATTTACAAGTGGCGCTATGGGAACTCACTACCATTCAGATTGCTCCGCCTCATCAGCCAGCGTGATGAGTATCACACTTTCTCTGTGGTGCATCTCATTGTTACTGGTTTTTTTTAGATACACATATAACCCACAGATACCTGTCGTGGCATAGGTTTATAATTAGCTGTGGCTTTTGGTATCCGTCTTGTCTGGAAATCCAAAATTAAAACTTCTGCTTAACCGAACTGGCTGACTGTACTGCACAAATATGTCCCCACTGCAATTTCACATCCTGAAACACAGCCTTATTACTCCAGCTATGAACAGGTGAAGTAAATTTACGAAGTTTAGAAAAGATGGTACCATTAAAGTGACTGCAGCCTTATGACCTTATCTCTTTGAAACATAGGAAAATATTTTTAAGTTTTTTAAAGCGATGTTTATTAGGAAGAAATATTCCACACTAATTATCTATTCGTGGTTAGCGTGATTCACATGCAGGCACATAAAATAGTTGTAGCGTGGGGTGGGCATGCAGTAAGGTTGTATATTTCTAGAGTGTAAGCTTGACGCATTCAGATCATAGTGGTAAATTTTTCAATTCATTTGTATGAACTTTTGCAGTTCATTTACTATGCACTGACAATTTGTACACTGGGGATTTTACGACTGATATTGCATTGGCGACGACGTTGGTACATCAAGCTGAGAGCGTCAGAATGTCCACATAAAGTCGCACAGTTCGTTAATGTGATGTACGTTGTCTTTTTTTAAAGACAGACTTCATTTATGGTTATAAGGCGTTTACTCTTATAGCGTGCATAGATTGTCTGATAACAGACCGAACTGCTCAGCTGATATTCAGTTGACAGCGTTCCAACGCTTTGCTAACATTATTCGAACAATATTAACTTTTTATTTGCTGCCTACTACAATTTTTCACGACAGGTTAGTATGTGGAATACAACCACAGTGATGCTGAGATATTTGGAAAACTCGGGACTGCAGGTGTCTGGGGTTGGTAACGAACGCGCTATTACCCTTTCCGGGAGCTACGTGTTCACCACCATACCATGTGTGTCCTTCATGTCGCCTGTTCCTCTCTCGGTGTCGTACTGAACGCGTTAGCCACAGAAAGGGTAGTAGTGCGTTCGTTCCCCACCCCAGACACTTGCGGTCCCGAATTTTCACAAATATCTCAGCATCATTGTGGTTGTATTCCACATAATACCCTGCCGTGAAAAATTGTAGTAGGCGACAAATAAAAAGTTAATGTTGTGGTTTTAACTATAGCCTCAGCTTTATTAGATTCAATGCCGATTTGGGCTATCCAAATCAGTGCTGTTGACGGATGATTGCTGATGGTGCTGATCGATAGAACTAGCTGAGAGAGAGGCGAAACGAAGGAGCAGCATGGTGTGGTGGTGAACGAGTTAGCTACCGGAAAGCGTGGTAGCTCATTCGTTCCCCAGCGCAGGTACTTGCGGTCCGGAGCTTTGCAAATATTACTCGAACATTCAACTATAAACGACTGAGTGCATGTCTAACTTATCTTAGATTTAAAAAATGAATGGGTATTTCAGCGATGAACATGGTGTCGAGTCATTTCGACCTATTCGCATCCAGACATCTAAGGCTAATTTGTCGCTCGTTCTTCCTACGGTAATAATGCAATTTAGTAAGAACTTGTTAACAAATACTATAATCACAGTTCATATGGTATTCCTATGTAGCAAAAGTGTCAGTTATAGGGGGATAAGTCCGTACCCACATTCTCCAAAAGTGGATAATATATTTGGTTTTATTTCTAAGAATCCTTACATTCTTCTATTCTTGTAATAGTTTAATAACGAAATCTAGGTGTTTTGCAGGGCAATGAAACCATGCAAAAAGTAGATTCCATGCGATATTTTACCTTTCGGAAATTGAAATACGTTTGGCTACCATCTTCAGAGGACTGGGTGTCACCAGCGGATTTTGATAAACACGTAGGTAGCAGTATTTAATTTTTTTTTAGAAAAAATTAAACTATAAAGAAGGCTAAAGTTTATTTAGGTTATCAGAGAGTTATACATTTATTCACGGTTGTTTCAACGTGAGACGTATTCTCTCATTCAATCTGTGTTGTATACAACCGCTATTGTTTCCATCTTATATCTACATAATTTATGCTTTTCACGCTAACCTCTCCAGGATTTTGCTTGATTCCTTATGAAGATCAATAACGTCGTTTTATTTCAGGTACCGTTGGACCATTTCCACTCAGCAATAGAATTAGATACAGGTCTTTCCGAAGACGATGTTACGAGTCGACAAGAAATCCATGGGAAAAATTTTATAGATGTTAAACTAAAGCCCATTCTTGTTTTGCTTTTTAAGGAAGCTATCTCACCTTTTTATATTTTTCAGGTCTTCAGGTAAGATGAATACTTTTATTCCAGAACTTTTTCTTCAATATGTCTTCAAATGATTTCCATCGATTCTAAATAGAAAAGTGTTTCAGTGTTATAATTTGGTTCAACGACCATTACGAGTATTACGCTTCGATTATTATTATTATGTCTGTGACGTCCATTGTAATAGACGTTTATCAGACGAGGTTTGTATTCTAAACTGCACAGTTTGCATATCATCGGTACTAAACAGCGACGATGAAGTGTAGAGTATGAGTATTGATCATCGTACCTCGATAATCAGAACACATACATTATGCTACGCCACGCAGCACTTATGTGGAGTCTAGGTGTTGGTTTTCTTTCTTTAATGTAAGCTAGTGAGCAATACCTCACTTTATAGGAGTCAAGAAAAAAAGCTACGGTCAATGGTTCACTCGTCTGATGAAGTGAAAGTGTTACGAGAGAAAATCGTTAGAAAAATTAGCACTGACGAGGTTACTTCTTATGATTTGTGCAGAATTTGATAATGAAGACATTCCTTCACTCTGCTATGTTTTCCATCCTTTTTTAACTGTTGTAGCACGTCGAGTTTTCGTCCTTCGACAAATTTTTGAAAACCCGCGTTGCCTTTTCAACATTTCGATATGATAAGAAGACGACAGTAGTGTTTGTTTCGATCTATTATAGTTGGTACCGGGTGACATATTTTTTGTGCCGGCTAATGGTGTGGTCCACTGCGATGCGATATTGATGACTGGAACAGCGATCGTGAACGAGAGTATGTTGACAGGAGAGTCTGTTCCCATCACAAAGGTGGATTGACTGTCATATCACTTTACTTGATCCATCAACAGCAGATTTTCGTGATCAGTTCAGGTAGCATTGACTCCAACGCATGATGATGATGAAGAGTACAAGCGACTATCCATTGAGAAACACTCAAAACACATCTTATTCTGTGGTACGCATATTTTACAAACACGATTTTATCAAGGAAAGGAAGTCAAGGTAGTTATGTTGTGATGTGATTACATTTAGATCTCGTGTTTTAGCTGGAAATGAAATACCAACAACACTTACCTCCTTGTATAGAAGGTCTTGTTACTTCTTAACATCATCTGTTCGGTTTACTTACTCGTGTCATTAAAGCTGCTCTCCTCGCATTTGTCATTCAGATTCGGCAATGTCGGCTTTTTTGGCCACGTTATAATACAGTTAAGCGTTATTAGTGGCATGCATCTGATGTGTTATATATCTATGAGCGTTCGAAGACTTAGATTTTGACTTTGGCGGTACTAAAAGCGGCACTCATAAGAATGGTAAGAGCAACTCCCACCGATATCAGAAGGCCGTTCCTAAAACGACAACGGTTGCCAAGTTTATTTTCTTAGATAGTTCGTCTACACATGCTACACATGCCATGTTGGCCCCAGCACTTCCTTCATCTAATTCGTTGTCTTGCAGCCATCATCTATGGAACTAATCGGATTCACGTCTTCGATCAGTTGCGACTTTACGATTTGTCCTTTTCTGTCCTTAAGTGGTAACTGAACCTAATTATTCCTAAAATGTCTGGATAACATTGTTAGTAGTCGAAATACAACCACAACGTTGCTGAGATATTTGCCAAACTCTGGACCGCAGGTGTCTATGGTGGGGAACGAACGCGCTATTATCCTCCAAACTAAAACTAAAAAAAAAAGATCGATAGAAATAGCTGAGAGACGTGCGAAACAAAGGACCCGCATGGTGTGGTGGTGAACGCGTTACTCCCCGGAAAGGATAATAGCGCGTTCGTTCCCCACCATAGACACCTGCGGTCCAGAGTTTGGCAAATATCTCAGCAACGTTGTGGTTGTATTTCGCTTAGTAACCTGCCATGAAAATTATAGAAGGCAGAAAACAAAACGTTAAACATTGTGATTTCAACTACAGCCATATCTTAACTGGGTTCTATGCCGATTTGCGCTCCCCAGATCAACCCCGCTGACGGGTGATTGC